ACCTTCTTGCTGTGAAGCACAAGTGGCGCAGCAAACCCCTGCAGCATTCTGACTTGCTGTAGGAGGAAAAGTTAAATGATGAGCTGCCTCAATTAATTTCTACCAATCAGGAAGCTGCGGGAGTGAGTGTGGGCAGGTCTGATCTCTTCTCAGTCTAAAAATTATCTGACATTCAATTAAATGTCATTTGCTGAGGTGAGTGTTTGTGTGTTGCCCAGTTACTAATTTGGAGACATGTTAATTTCAGTTCAATTCAATGTATTATTGAGCAGCCCAAAATCACTAGTTATCCCAGGGGACTTTACAAAACTGCTGAATTCGCCAACACAGATAAGAGAATCCAACAGTTCAAATTCAAGAAATGCAACAATAAAAAACACATAGAGCCATAAGGGGCAGATGACCAATGTCCATAAATGTTGACAGCGTTGTTAACTATGTAAACTTTAGTTATGTAATGCTATAGTTTTTACATGTAAATTTACAGTTAGCTTTACAACAGTACAATTAGAATAGAAAGGTATGGATGACCTGGAAGGACCATAATGTTTTAAAAGTAAGCTTTGAGACCATTAGAAAGCCCTGGCTGGATGACCGAACAGAGCGCCCAGAGGAGCAAGAAGGCAGCAAGTCAGCACTTTATACCCGTCAATGCAGTGCTCCAAAGAACCAACTAAAAGTTTTAAATCAATTCTGTGTTTTACTGATAAACTGAAAACTTGCAAAGTTCACTGCTGTAAACTGTTCAGGAATTTCCATCAATGATCAAATTCAAAATAATCCAATTGTGAGGAGTGGGTGTCTCCTAGCTTGCTCAAACCTTCTTATAAATCTTTGGAAAATGGGTCAACTTTAAATAGTTCCCATCATATTCATGGCTCTGCTGATTTAGCTACGAGCAATACTTTCAGTCTGATTTACAGTGGGGAGGTCACATGTCCGCATCATTAGCGCAGTCCCACACCTCTGCACATGATTTATGGAAACTGACAGGGCTTAATTGTAATGGAGTGATGCATCATGGGTATTGTAAAGGGCAGGTAATGAAGGAAATCTGCCTCGGGTCCTCAGCTAATCCATACTTTAATCAGACGAGCGCTTTGGGGCAAAAATGCATAAAAATGTGACTTACAGCATATGTAATCAAAGTTAGGCATTTATTAGTGACATTGGGGGTGTGATTGGCTGGTGCCCTTATCACACTGGTGGTCCTCCATAATCCCTTCTTCAAACTTGTCAGCGCACGGTGGAAGCAACAATATTAGTAGCACCTGTGGAACGAAAACGCATATTTCACATCCTTTTTGTCCCGTATCAACCAATGTATATCAAGATGGTGCATTGACATGGAGAGTCCAGCTCCCATGTACATTTATAAGTCAAATTTGGACATATTGGCTTTAGTTACACTGCCTTTCATTGAACAGCTAAAGTGCTTATACAAATTTCCCACAAGGCATGTGTTGTTTTGTCTCCAATGTTTGCAGGCACCTGCGCTATCTTTGTCCTTCACATTCCACCACCGCACCGGCCACTCAAGGCCGACACTGGACTCTATCTAACTCAGACTCACAACCCATAACACCAGTTACAGTCCCCCCCCCCCCCCCCCCCTTCTACATGTCTGCCTCCCTCCTTTTCAGTCTATGGTGGTCTTCCCCTCCACCTCCCCCACCCACACTCCCCTCTGACGCGCTATATTGGGCCAGAGTGATGACTTCCCATTAAAAAGATCCGCATGTTTTCCACATGTACCGTGTCTCTCCCATGTTTATTGAAATATGTGTCTGTTTTGCTCTCTGCTGTTGAATAACTGTCATAAGGAGCGCGGAAAATTAGAGTACGCGGCCGGCCTTGATGTTTATTCATCGAACTGAATTTCTCCATCTGTGTGAGATAATAAAGGATTGATTGATTGATTGATTGAAATTCTAAGCCTATGACAACAATTAAAAAACCTGCTGGACATAAATATTCTTAAAAGGTCACATTTGTTATTGGTTAACATGTTTTTTCAGCTACTACCTAGTACACAGAGTACCTTGTGTACTGTGTGTTTACATGCTAGAATTGGTTAATATACAGTAAATGAAATATTGCAAAACTAAATACTAACTTCTGCATGTAAACAGTGTGTTGCTATGGTAACTAGCATTGGCTCCAAGCTGAGATTGCTGGGACCCAATTAACGAAGGTGTTTCCTAAACATAATGACATAGGAATAAAATACATCTAGAAACAGAAAAAGTTATAACTACCAATAACATACATAAGTGGAGTAATTACATTGCCAAATTGAAAGGCTGGCAAATTGACTACTCTGGGAATTCTAGTGTTAAAGCCACACATTATTACTTTAAGATGGTGAAAAGGTTTCTCATTTTTTCCCACTGGGTTTTTCCTTGTCGATGCAGGAGGGTCTTGTTGGACAGTTAGTGTCCAACAGAAAGGATTGGTGATGATCAGGACACTTTAGCATTCTGTATGTATGGACATTTTCTTCTGTGTGTGCTTTATATTCTTCATGTGTTTTAACTGTTAATTCTCTGATCTGTGTTGGTGATTTCAATGGTTTTGTTAAGTCCTCTGAGATTACTTCTGTTGTAACCTAGGGCTATACAAGAATAAATTGTATTGTATTGGATTGTATTGATGTAAAATTCCCAAGCAGGAGAATAGTTCGATAGTTGCCTTATATGGTTGCGCACATACAGTATCCATCTTTCTACCTGCAGATGGAGTCACCTGAACGGGAAACACTTTTGCCTCACTGTCTTGGACAGATAAAACTACTGTTATGAGTCATTTTAACAGAAGGCAAAAAGTTGGGAGATTGTTTTTTTTCTGACAGAGCTATCCCAAAAAATGTTCTACTTCTGACTTGCGCGTCCAGCCTCCCGGCTCCGTGGGTGAGGTCTGGTCTGAGCCACTGCGAACTTGGAGACATTTCTTTGTTTCTCACAGTAAACAACAGAAAGTAGGGCACTTGCATCAAAGACTTGGGGGTGTGAAACTCTCACACTCTGTCAAAGTAGATTTCTCAAAACTTGTCTTAATATTACTTTTCAGTAGTTACATTTGAGAAAATACATTACCTTAGGTCTGACATGGCCACGATAGATGGATAGATACTTTATTGGTATTTCAGGTGCAGCAGAAATACATCCATCCATACAAAAAAAGTAAATGCATTCCTCCAGTGGATTTACATTTGATCTGCTTGGTTTGGACCATGAATCCTCTCTGCTCTGGTCTGAATCAGTGTAAAACCATGAACACTGTACTGCAGCAAAATGTATAACTAGAGAAAAAGCTAGAACAATAACAATTTCAAAGCACAAAACTGTTTCAGATCTACTTGGGACTTGCTGCCGTTTGCAGCGCATTCAAAAGTAAATGCTGATGCATTTGGATTCTCGTGCCTCTTCCACTTTAATCCAATCTCATCTCCTCTGATCTAATTTAAATCAGTCCAGTAACTGTCTCTAACTTATCCAAAACTTTGTGGCTCTGAGGCGGAGGGGATCGTGTGCTTCTCCTCCCCTGAGGGTATGTAGTGCTGAGTCAGTCGCCTCATGTATCTGTACCCTTCTCTTTTCACCCTCAAGCTGGGTCATGCACTCATCTTGTGAAGGAAAAGTGCATTTCAGTGAAGCAAAAATCTGGAACAGTCTTCCTGAAAATATGAGACATGCTTTGCTGACAATGTTCAAATCTGGGTTAAAAACAGTTTAGCTGTGCTTACAACTGAGTGATCTTCGTTAATAATTATTTATTATTGTAAAGCCTTATGTGACTGTTTCTATCCTGTTTTGTTATGTGTTTTGAGTTGCTTTGTGTATGAGCTGTGCTATACAAATAAATTTGCCTTCCCTTGTTCATTGAGAATATTTTGGGTTGATGAGAGTCTCATTGTGAGCTGCTTTGGTGTGCAGAGAGCAGGTCCAATCTGCTACAACAGGCGCACAAGTGATGCCCCTGTGAAAGCCACTTCTGTATGAGCCAGTTCCTCCCTCTTCCCACCCCGGCACAGAGCAGACAGTGCAGAGCCTACTGTATCTCCACTCCAACTGACAAAGTGATTTTAATTCTAAAACATTTAGAAAGGTGTGTCTGGAAGTAGGCTAATCAGATTTTGGTCGGTAGAAGGTGAAATTGTGGATGTGCATAATGCACGTTCAACCAGATATTCAGGGTTTTTTATTTTAGAGGGAATACTCTAATACCCTATTTGAGGGATTTTGACAGCCCTACTCCAAATTCATTGACTTAAAATTTCTTATTCTTGTGTATGAAGTCTCCTCTGTCTCGCTCCATCATATCATTCAGAACTTGAGATATGAACCTGTATGCACTCTCAGATCTTTTGACCTCAAGCTTTTTTCAGGTGAAGGGCATCGAGTTGCAGTTTCCTATATGAAATGGGCTTTAAATAAAATGTCTTATTCTTCTCCTCGCTTCCCTCCTGCCTCTATGAGACATATTACTTACTTATTGGTTCATAAGTGTGTTTCTGCAACAAAATACACAAAATGTGGATGGCGCCGGAAAAATGGTGCCGTGGAAAAAGCTTTGGTGTGTGCTATCTGGTGCAAACTGGGCTAGTAGTCTTGCACAGTTTTTCCAATGTGGTTTTACTACAAATGGCAAATACATTCTTGAATTTCCTAATCTGTGACTCCTGTTACTTACATGGCAATAAAAATGATTCTGAATCTTGAAAATATTGGGATAAAAAGTTCAACTCTAACACTGTGAATGGAAGTGACCACATACTATTACTGTTTAACGCCTTTTTTTAAGCACCTGTTTTAAACCTTGTAGAAACATAATGGATATTTGTTTACGTTACACCACAAACAAGTTGGTTTTGCACTGCTGATAGTTGTTGCTTATCTCTTAGTTTCTGTGAAATTATTGAATCTGGTTTGAAGCAACAACTGAATAGGCACCATTCATCTATGATAATAATCTTCTCTAATGCTGTTTTTCCTCCACAGTGAATGTGCATCCCCCGAGGCTGCGTGTGAACGGCTCTGTGCTGGTTCCTCTGGACGCCTCTGTGCCTCTGTCATCGTCTCTGCTGAGGATATCGGACGAGGACAGCGCCCCCCGTCTGCTGCTCTTTGAACTGCACACTGCCCCCTCCAATGGACATCTGTATTTGCGGAAAGGAGCCAAGGAGACAGAGTTGAAGCCCGGATACCGCTTCAGTCCAGAGCAGCTCCGTGCAGGACAAGTGGTGTTCACATATCAGCAGGACAAGTCCAGGTGAGCTGCAGTCTGGGGTTGTAGACATAGCTATACTTTTTTTCTAAACAAGAAACATTCTATAATATTATAATTATCAAATTACCATTATTTTGGTATTTTAGACCACCACTGAACGTTGCAGACTTATAGCCACTAAACTATTTGTCTCCAAGTCATATTCTTTCATTTTCTCTCTTTTTCATTTCATATTCTCTGGCCTAAATATTTTCTAAGTCAAAAGTTTCTAAGCTTTCTGACCTAGCAAAAGAATACTTGTTACTCAATACTGTAGGGGAACTATGTATATGTATGCCTTAGATGCACAGTGCATTTGAATACACTGTATATCTAAAAATATACATACACAGTAGTAGCTACTTTGGATTGGGAATTTCCTTGTATCTACCTTTTATAGGGGTGTGCTTATTCTAAGAGCGGTCTAATTAGACTAATACAGAGATGTTTCTATCTGAAAAGAGGTGAAAGAAAAGTCTTAAGACCTAACTAAAGAATAAGTAGTATCAAATCAGTCTCATAATCTAAAAGTGTGCGTTCTATTCATCAGAGTTCATCCTTCAAACTCATAGACTAACTATTAACAAAGGAGGCTGATAGTAATTCTAGCTGTTTATTTACAGAACAAAACATTTGTAGATTACTTGTGCGAGTCACGAGTCAGGACAATGCACGATACCAAATCAGACACAAGTGAACACGTTAACGAGCACGATACATCTTACTGGTGCGTGGCTGAAGAGTAGTCCGTGTGCGTGACTCTGGTCCCGGTCCTTTGTTAACACGAGCACGCGCACAGAGGCCACTGTGTGTTTTAATTAAATTAGAGTCTTAGCGTTTGTGGTAGGTGTTAGCAGCGGCTGGTGATCAGAATCTCATCCTACAATACAATGATGTGGCCAATTCAGGAACTGCTGTGTGTGTGTGTGTGTGTATAATATATATAATGGTTCTTTATGATTAATTTACTTAGAGATTAATTGTTTTTTTGTCTCTATTTGGGAGTGATTTTCAGGTATGCCAGGCTTTTCCATAATTTCACTTATGAAAATGTCGACTTTTGTTTTAAAAGGAAGACAAGCGCTCTGAAATGACATCATACTATTACAGGACTGAGACAGGAGCATTTATTCAGAAAGGGCAGAGTTACATATTTTTCAGAATCAGAATCAGAATCATTTTTATTGCCACTAAGTAACAGGAAGTCACAGACTTGGAAATTTTACCAGACGTTCCTGATATTAGTGTAGATGGATCTAAAAACAACATGGTTTAAAGAGTAAAAGTTTCCATAATATGTCCCCTTTAAGGTCAAACTGTGGCAAAGTTATTTAAAGAGAATAAACTTCAACTTAAATAGTTGGATTTACAGAGTTTTTTTCATGCACCTGTCCTCAACATACTCCAATCTATTACAGCGGCACAAGAGGAGCACAATGCGTTTCCTCCCTTTTTGCTCTTTGCCAATTCAACAACCATCAAAACTCTATTACCTCAAATTCCCATCTCTATTTTTTATCCCACTTTAAGCGCGCTCTCCCTATTTCCACAGATGCTCAATTTGGCCCTGATTCAAAGTTCTAACCAATCAAAACGCTCGTATTAAGCTCATTACTCAGCACTGACTTTCTGTGAAGTGGCGATTGCCCAAAAATGTACCAGAAACTTGTCCCTTTGCCCGGTCCCCAGCATTAAATTAATCTAGAAGATGAATTAGGATTATTTTAGAAGATTATGCTAGCAATTTTGGAAAATTAGTGGCAAAGTAAACAGGTTTGGATAGCAATTACTACTTGTCTTAGAGGAATTTACTGTAAGATGTTGCCGGAACAGGAAGCAATTATTCAGACTCCGAAACAGCGACACGTCCCTCGCATGTTGACAGTTTGTGTAATGGGAAAAGTTTAAACGGCTGAAGTTATTGGAGCTGGGAGAAGCGGCAACTCATAATGGAAAAGTATGGAGCAGCTGTTTAGGATGTAAAGTTATACGGGGTTATGGGAAGAGCATAGCAAAACGATAAGTGCGTAATTGGTTCATGAGGTGGAAGAATGTCAAGGTCTGAACCACAAATTTAAATAGTGAACAGCTCATAGTGGACTGTACATGGAGACGGCAAGAATGTATTCAAAAGTATACATCTGGCTATACTGTACCTATTAGGGGTTAATCCCGGGATACGGGATTCCCGGGAAATCTGATGAAAACTATTTCCCGATTCCCGGGAAATGTTATGACGGGAAACGGGAAATGAAAGTAAAAAAAAAAATCCAGTGCGCTCCTATTATAAAGCACGTTTATTGTTGTTCAAAGTTCAAACATATTTCATTTACAATCAACATGTCTACAGCTGAGAGGATGGCTAATAAATTGTGTTTTTGACAACAAATATGGGTCTTAATCGCGCTAAACCACGACTTGTAATGAGGCCAGGCTCAGGGTACGGGGCACATGTGAGCCCAGAATTTGGTTACGTCCAATTCTATCAGAAAGCTCCTTTCTTTTTTTCCATCTGCTAAGGGCAGCAACAGGTTTGGCTAACATACATATTACAAATTTTAAAATCCTATAAAATGCATTTAGGGTAATGTTCTGCTTACAATGACGATAGGAATGATAAGGAAGAGAGGAGAAGGGTAAGAAGGTTGATATTAGAAATTGGATGCGCCCGAGAGCCGGCTGCAGCGAAAACACAGGAGTTTATGGAGGTGGCACCCATTTTGTTTTACGCTTTAAAACTCTTTGGGCTTATTTCCAAATGGGGGATTACATATCTGCGCTCAAACTATTATCTGGACTTAAACATGAAACTGGTTCTTAACTGAAGTGGTCTGTGCTGTTCATTAATAACTAAGGTAAGACCCATAACACAATTGGAAATGTGCCTTTTACGAACTTTTGCGTTTTGTTTGATCAAACAATGCGGGCCATGGAAAACATTCTGCTGTAGCCAAACTAATTGTGAATAAGCCGCTCTGTAGGTTCTGTTGATTTATATATGTTCATCTGACAGGGCTGAAGTCAGTGCCTCCAAACCACACCGCACGTCACTGGTCGACAAGTGGATTGCGCAGACATTTAGAATCTCATAATAGTGAAATTCCTGAAGAAAGCCCATCAACAAAACGTCTGAAAACGCTATGGCTACTTTAGAAAAGCTATCAAGTCGCTTGGTGAAACACTAGTGGAGATGGCAGCTTTTGTTGGATTATATATTTGAGTGATATCATACATTACTTGGGCTAAAAACAACAACTACAAACAACAGCTATTTCCCGGGATTTCCCGGGAAAGGCGTCGTCTTTTCCCGGGATTTGATACTTCTCATTTTCGGGAAAAATATTAAACCCTAATACCTATAGGTGAAAGCCAGATTCTGTGAGACCTCTGAAGCTAAGCAGGGCAGGGCCTGGTTAGTACTGTGATGGGAGACCTCTGAGAACACCAGTGCCACAGTGGGGCGGCTGCGGCTGTGCCACATTGTCATTGTGTCTTTAGACAAGACACTTAACCCACATTGCCTTGAATGAGTCTGAAGTTTGTGAATGACTGGTGGTGGTTGGAGGGGCTGATGGCACATACTGATTGCCTTGCTTCCGTTGGTGTGCCCCAGGGAAGCTGTGGCTACAGTAGTAGTTCATCACCACCGTGTATGGAGTGAAAGAATAAAGACATGTAAAGCGTGTTTGAGTGTCCAAAAGAATGCTATATAAAACCAATGAATTAACATTATAAGACGTTTTTTTGTCATTAATATATGAGGCACAGCATAGTCATTTTTAGATCCTCCAAAAATCCCAAAGCTATTACTGATCATTGTTTGTGGATCTCAGAAGTATTATTATTAAAAGGGATGCACATAGATACAATTTACAATTCTATGTTATGCTTTTTTAAGCTCTTGATCAAGTTGCAACATTGTTCCCTCTTGACTAATAGATCATGAGTTGTTTTGTTTTATCCACTCTGATATCAGGAATCTTTTTGTTCTTGAAACACTCCAATCTCTATCTGTTTCCTCACAGACCAAGCTGAGGAGATCTTTTAATTTCTTTTTGAAACATATTCATTCATGTTCGGTGGCCCCTCGTTAATCGTGGGGTTTACGTTCTAAAAAAAACACACAATAAGTGAAATCTGCAAAGTAGCAGCTGTGTTTAAAGGCTGTAAAACTTCTCACACACACTTTATATACACTAATCTCACCACCTGAACTGACGACTGCTGATGTGCGATCGCAGAGCTATCAAGCCTTTTAGTTGTCAATCTGAGCGCTGCTGCAGCTGTCAAAAGCTGTGCATACACTATAAAATACAGATGTAGAGGACACCGCCTTGAGAGGCAGGAGCAGTACTTGGGGGAAAGCAACGGTTGTTCTAATTAACAATCTGAACTGAACTGAACTGATGCACACAAACCCCAGAAGTACGTTTCACACTCTAAATCGAGATAACTGTCATGTTACACTAGCAGTTATGTGATGTTGTAGAGGCCTGTGTACTACTCGAACAACAATTATGGCTCTAACTAACTGGTCCCTGAACGATACAATTGTTTCCTCACGCAATGGGAGCTCAAGAGACTCTCTGCTCTGACGGTACGGAATCTGCGGGCGACGTTTAACAAACCGGGTACGGGCTTAGGGGCACCGCCACTATCCATTGAGGATATTGAAGATGTGATCATATTCGGATTCTTGGTAGCAATTTTTCTGCTCATTGCGGTGGCAGCTGCCCTGGTCAATCACAGAGTTGGAAAGATGTCACCTCACAAAATGTATGAGGCGCAGGGCAGCTCTGGCTACAGGTTTACCGCCACACTGTATACGGAGGAAATGAATAATGCCATGTCTTTGGGTGTTATGAAAAATTCTATACAGTATGTAACAATGTATTATTGTTATATATTATTATTTCTTCCATATTTTTGCAGGAGTGGAGAGTTTGTTCTTCGAGCCACAGACTCACAGCTTTTTTCTGAGCCAAAGAAAATTCAAGTCCTGGCCATCTCCACACAGGTGAGACAGACTGACATATTTTCTGTTTTTTGGGGGGGTTTCAGACAAGATATCAGGCTTTATTTATCAATCCATGGGTAAAGCAAGACTGAAAAGTGATTTATATTCCTGTCCTCGTCCATTCTACGTGCAACCAGTGTTTCCTATCCCACAACAATTGTCATTTTTGCACTGCTCCTTTGTGTTTAGTTTATTATTTCTAATGTAATTTCTATTTAGTCCTATAGGGCGTGTTGTAAAGGCTCTTGTTAGCTTATATGACAAACTGTGTTTTAGTTTCTGAAAGTGGTATGTTCTTAAAAACTTCATGGTGAATAATCTGAGAATGAACATTCAATTGACTGATATTATTTCGCAGTAACTTTATTCTTTCTTCAGTAGAACCCCTCTGAATGGCCACCAAAGTATACAGAGTAATCGAATGACCTGAAGCAAACTTTGAGTGGCCAAGAAAATCATTGCATTATAAATAGACATACAAATCCCGTTTATCATCCCTGTGACCAATGAAATTCTGATTGCCTCCAGCTTCCCTCCAAAGAGTAAAATGTAAGCAACTACTGTATTTGCGGTGTATAAGTTGTATCTGCAGCGGTGGAAGTTTAGTGCTCCGTCAGCGATCTGTCAGCACAGGGGGTAATTGTTGATTGAAGACAGGCTTCTCTCAGTATAATGGGCTCAGGATTAAAGATGTGACACTGATAAACTTTACCCTAGGATTTCTATTACAGCAGCAATGACAAAAGGGCACTGTGGAGTGTAATGTATGTATTTGTTTTTTGGAAAGCGATAGCTCCCCAAAATGTTGAAATTGGAATGGTTTTAAATTAGATATTAGAAATCTCATAATCCTTATCTGGCAGAATCTTTTCTGTTTCCTTCTGCAGATGTCAACATAAATATAGCTCGAGACACAAGCTATCCATGGAGCACACTGGTGTCATTTGGTAAAAACAGATTTGCTGAGAGGGATTTCTGTAATCGAGATTTGACTGACAAGCGTTATTTTGACAACAATTTATTTACAAGTTTTTAGTTTTCCTTATCTTTGACCTGCTGAAGCTGTGTTTATCAACACTAATGGACATTTGTTATTCGCCCCTTATGGACCAATAGTTATAAGTACTGTATATCTATGTGGGGTTTTATTTATCATTGCATTACTTGTGCTTGAACTGTTTGATTCTCTGATCTGTTGTTGGTGAATTTGATGGATATGTAAAGTCCTCTGAGATAACTGCTGTTGTGATTTAGGGCTACACAAATATAAATGGAATTTAATTGAATTTATTCAAGTGACCATTGGTTCGACAATCTCCATTTTCACCTTAACTTCTACACAATCACTTTGTCTATTCTTTAAAATGACACTTGTGTAACAGTTTGCTCCAGTGATCGGCTAATACTGTAAGCCACTGGTTTTACACAATATATATACCAATATAATGGTATTGCAAAAAGCACTGTTTGTCTTCTAAAGGCTTGATTTTATGATATATTATAAAAGTATGCGGGGCGACAGTAGCTCAGTTGGTAGAGCATTGGCCTTAAGCCCAGAAGGTCGTGGGTTCAATTCCCACCTCTGCACCTTCTCCACTGACTCCCGCTGATGACTGCTGTCGTTGTGTCCTTGGGCAAGACACTTAACCCCACTTTGCCCAAAGCCCCCACTGAAAGATCAAGGCTATGCTCACACTCAGAGAGCAGCCGTCCTCCTGTGGACTCACCACCTGCAGAGGGTCAGTGAGGGGCTGGTGCTATGAGACTTGGGTGGCATCTCTGATTGCCACCCCCCTGACCCAGAAATGGATTAAAGGGTAGAAAATGGATGGATGAAATGGATATAAAAGTATGCTTAACAAAAATGAACCTATATCCTTGGTTTGTAACCTTGGAGTGAACCTAGAAGCTCAGAACAGCCCTTTGCTCACAGAGATCCCAGCCCCTGTCTCCTCCTCTCGTCTCAGAGTCAGACAGGCGGACGACTCGGGGGAACACAAAAGCCTTTTCTTTAAGCATGACGTCTTTATGTTTCAAGATCTATGTGCCTAGACCTGCCCAGACTGAAGGGAAGGCGAGACTACAGCCCGCGGACACACAAATATTCCAAACAGAGAGGCGCTGAGGTCATTGGGGTTTACTCATGCCGAAATGTATTCTTGTAAAAACTGGGGTACATCTAAACTTTTACAGGGTTTTTTGTTACTATTTGAATACACTTAATAAGTCACATTTGCACACACACACAGACACACACACACATACTGTATATGAGACTACAAAAACGACATGTGATTTCAACTCATAAATCACAAAAATCAAATCCAAATTTCTCTCGTCACTTTAGTCAATAACATATTTTGAAAAAGATTTGAAGTTGTATAATTTCAACTTAGTGTGAACTAAACTTGTACTCAAACTAAAGCCAAATATACAGCAACAATCCTCAGCAACAGTTGGCTACACAGTGTATGTCTAGAATTTGCATGTTTCTCAATCTTTATTTGTAGAGCGCCTTTCCTACACTGGGTAACTGTGAAAAAACAAGTCACATTTCAACACAAAGCGCTTCACAGTCCACATCATACAAGGCACAAAGCATCACATAAAACATACACCAAAATCACTATATAAAACACAATTAACCCTACCATCCAAAACATGAACCATAGGTAAAATGCTCCAGCGTGAGTCCTGACACATATCTGGGGATGGGTCGCTGGTAAAATGTGCCTACAGGAACAAGGAAGTGAACATAACTTAACAAGTAAGGAATGAAAACGGATAGACAAGATGGCTTTAACAGACTGTTGACATGTATTAAAGGAAATGCTGTAAAGTGGCGAACATAATTTTGAACCAACACCTCTAACAAAACCGTTTCAGCTAGCTAACTGTCCCTGATTGAGTTTTTAGAGTTAGTTTAGCATTTAATTTATTAAGGACATATCTTAATGTAACTTATTTCCATCTGTAGTCCACAACACAACACACAACACAATCAACATACATATTAAAATATAAATATAAATAAAATCAATAAAAAGTGCAAGATTAACAGAAAGCTGATGGAAACAATTGCTGGAAATTAACGTGGGATTATTGTTATTTTCCTTTTATACTTTTTAAGATGGACCTGTGGTTGGTAGGTAAAACCGGTCAATTTGACACATTTTCTGAGGTACACATTTTGTAGGTGCACATTTAGTCAGTGCTCTCATAAAGCCAGGTTTTCATTATATTGTTCCTTTTTTAAGACGCTTTGTCCTTGTGGTTTGTTGTTGTTGGCTGCTCTCCAGTTGAACAAAGGATTCGGAGAGGTGCCTGGCTTTGGTCCACATTCATCAGACTCTAGCTCTTTACTGAGCAACACCGCAGTCTGTCAGCAAGCCAATTCTCCAACATGCTTTATCTGAGAATCAAAGTGTCGCGTTGGGAACGAGCACGGAAGACGGTCTAACTCAGTCCGCTGCACTCAGCACGGAATGGGCACAAACCGGTCGGGCACATCAAGATAAAGACCGGACGAAAGAGGAGGACGACAGCGCTGAGCCGGACCGCGGTGAGCGCCCCTTTCCTTGGGAGCCCAGACACACAAACAGTGACCACCCAACCTGAATGACGAGTCAAGTGCCAGGTAATGACTCAGCATTCTGACAGGACACAGAAGGTGCCGCCGCTCCTCCTCGGGAGGCATGCTGGTGGCGGATAGAAAGGCCCTAATCCTGATGCCTCTCGACTAAAGGCCGCACTGATGACCTTGGGGGAGAAAAAGCGGATAGGGCCACAAATTTCCACCATGACGTCGCCATCTCCAAAGGACAGGCAAGACCATGGACAGCGAGCGCACACAAGTCGCCGCCCTCTTAGCAGACGCCAACGCAACAAGAGGGCCGTCTGTCAAAAGCGACACATCGGGACTCGCCTCGGCCGCCGGATCCAAAAGGCGGACCCGACAGCCCCTAAGGACCACCCTGATGGTCCAAACGGGGGCGTTCTCTGGAGGCGGGGGCCTCCTCTCTGCGGCGCCCCCCGCAGCAAACGTTTAACAACGGATGACAGCGGGCTGTGAACCCCCCGAATCCATCGTGACCGAAGTAATGGCTGCCGGAACACGCAACCGGGTGGCGACAGCCCTCCCCCTTGTCAAGAGCTCCTGTAGGAATCCCAGGACCCACTCCAGCGGGCAACGCCTGGGATCCAGCAACGGGAACTCGCACCAGACGCTGAAGAGCCTTCACTGTGGCGTAGGCCCTCACAGTGGACGGCGCCCTCGGCCCCTGAATGGGTCTCACCACCGCAGGGGGAAGCCCCAGGTCTACGAGGTTCGCCTTAGCCTCCAAAAACCCAGAGCCTGCGGCGATTATCAGGCGTGAACTGGGCTCCTCCCCCCTGGGACTAGAGCCCCGGTCGTCCGGGAGGGCCCAAGGTCCATCACCGCCATGCCCTCAGGAAGGGAACCACCGGGCATGCGGGACGTCCGGAGCCACCAGGATCACCGGACCTCCTCTCTGTTTGATCCTCCGCAGCCGGGACCGCAGGAGACGCACTTGGGAAAACGTACAGGCAGGCCCCCTGGCCAGGGGGCCTTAGGCGAACCAGGACGGGCACTGTGCGTTTTCTGCACTGGCGAAAAAGTTCGACCACAGGCACATGGCCGAACCTCCGCCACGATCTCCGCAGCTACCCGTGGGGCCAGCCCAACTCGTCCTGGAGTGGGGCCCCCCCTGGACATCCTGTCGGCCCCCACGTTCCGGACCCCCGGGACGTGGCGCGCCCTGAGAGACAGGAGGTTGAAGGCCGCCCACAGCAGCGTCACCGTCGCCATGCGTGGAGAGGCGGGGGACCTGGTGCCCCCCTGCCTGTTCAGATGAGACCACTGTGATGTTTGTCTGAGCGCACCATTCAGAACCTGATGTTCCGATGCTGCCACTAGGGGAACCCAGATCAGCCTCCCCGTCCCGGGAGGGGTGAAGCTGAGGCGTGAGAACCCACCTCTGAAAATTCCTCATGTGGAGAAGGCCTAGCGCACCACAGAATGAGCCCGCCGCCATCATTCCCAGCAGGGACCTGAGGCGTCCGAGCGGGGACTCTGGGGGCCCGCCAGAACCTTCCCTGGCAGACGGGTAGTGTTCATCCGTCTGTCCACGGGACAATGCTGCACCCGGAATGTCACAGAGTCTAACTGCAGACGAGATAAATCATGCGTTGAGCGGGCTGCAGCTTGAATTTCTCCCTGTTACCACAAAGCCCAGACGCTGTATGTGGGACAGGAACCCAGGTGGTATGACTCCGGGCCACTTCCCTGGATGAGGCCAAAATTAACCCGTCGTCTATGTAGGTTAAAAATTCTTACCCCTGCGCGTCTGGAGCGGCTCCAGTGCTGCCTCCACGCACTTGGAAAAAAGTGCGAGGCGCACCGCGAGTGCGTAGCCCACGGGGGAGACGGCAGTAACCGTAATTCCTCTCTCCCACTGCCGAAGCGCAGAACCTCCTGTGATCGGCACTATCGGCACGTGGAAGTACGCATCTGTCAGGTCAATGGC